GTAAATAAATATTGTTCTTCCCATTCTGAATGGAAATGGTATGTCTCCATCTTCTTACTACTGCTCATTTTTTTAATTGCAGATCAACTCTAACCTAACCGCTGGACTTTGTGCCGCTCAGTTTTAAACTGAGCGCACTGTCGCCGCCTTGCGTATTTATTCCGTTCAAAGTAATCGAGATCGTTTTCGAACAGATCGCTCACCGCAGTGTTGCCGCTGCTTGTGTTTATTTTTACACCTTTTTAAAATATGTTGTGAACCACCAGAATTGCATTTGCGAGCTACCGTAGGTTAGCGACCACTGTTCTGGAGGCATACTGTTGTACATATGAGGTCCAAGTAATGTCATGATCTCAGTAGTAACGATTTTGGTAGGTATTGTGATCCAATAATGTCAGTTGTCTCGTGGGCGGATGTAGGAAGAGGCTGAGTGACCCTACTGTAAATAGTCTATAAACTTTGATAGTTCCATCCACCGTGGTACCGCTCAGTCCGGCATAATAAAGCAATAAATTATCTTAATCACACTCGGTCGGCGCGAAATTAACATCTGCTACTTCTCACACAATAATTCTTTACCTCTCGCCCATCGTCGTTAGCAACCACTTCACTCAAGTTATATTTAAAGTTTAGTTCTGTACAGTGATTATCATTCGAAAATAACTCGAGTGGCTGACGCGTTATCATGCATCGCTGAGCTTTCGAAAAATACCCGAGGAGGAGTATTTGTTTTGTTTGTTTTGGTTTGGGGTCGATTTAAGTCATAGCTATCGATTGATCTGCAGCAGGTGCATAAGTGCAAGGTTTCTTGGTATAAACTTTGTTTTTAGAGATCGTTACAGGAAGATCAAACGCCACCAAACATTCGTTCGATGTGTGATACGTTGCTTTGTCCTGCTGGAACCACACCTTCACATAGTTGGAAAAAAGTTGAATGTTTTGTACAATTCCTTATGTGGTGATTCTTATAAACTAGACTTTGTCAACAAAAGAAACATCAAAAAGTAGCTGAAGAGCGTTATTCGGAAAGCTATTCCTTTTACAATTATAAAAAAACTGATGGAGAGAAAGAATCGATCATTTATGGACCGTTAACGTAGGATTTTTCATCATCTATCATCGTACGGGGTTATGATGATCTACTTGGCAAAACCATTGGGTAGGAGATGGACAGGTTTTTCGCCTACCTCCGCACAGTATTTGAGTCTTTCACATTTGCTTTGCGTTCATTTATCCCCAGGACTACTAGACCTATACCGCACTAATGAGTTGCTAATGAGCACGAAACAGCGATATCTGTGGTTGGTCGTGGTTACAGAGACGGGGAGCAAACATATTCATTTCAATAAGCAAGAAACCTCAGGTCTATGCAATTTCCAGAGGTGGGCGTTTGTATATCAAATTCAATGTTTGTCATGAAAATATAGAAATGACTTACACTAGTCAAAGACATAAATGTTTCAACTCATATGGATTTTCTCAGTCACTGAACCAACAAGGATCTCTCAAAATACAGCAACTCTTTTGGATCTAATCTTTGTATCAAATGACACGATAGTAAATAATACATGTACGTTAAGCGCTGATGCTGTTAGTGATCACAGACTTGTATTGTGTAAATTGTCCCTGTATCGACAAAAGTCTCGTCAAAAGTTTGTCACATACCGTGATTATAAAAACTTAGATCATGATCTGTTCATGATGAACTTACGCTCCATTCCTTGGCATCACATCTATACTGTACAAAGTATCGATGAAAAAGTAAGATTATTGACTGACTATTGTTCGACATACATGCTCCTAAAATTACCGTCAGAGTTAGCAGGCCGTCAGCTTACAGATAATCTTAAACTCATTTTCAAGGAGAGGGACAGGTTATTACACAATTACAAGTTGAATAGAACCGAAGAACATCTTAGGCACGACAAAGAGATGAGGAACTTTGCATTGATGGCAATGAGAACAGAAAAACGTCCATATCTTAACTTTGCATTCTCAGAGAAATAATAGTCAATTTTGGAAAACTCTGAAAAACATGAATATAAATATATCCTCTTCCTTTTCACTTCCGCCATCCTTAAGCGATCCGAATGAAATAAGCAGGTCCTTCATGTCTGCATATACTGAAAATAATGAATCCAATGATCTTATTACCAGATATTACTACAGCAAAATGAGTGATTCCAGCTTCACATTCAGCTTTGTTGACCAAAGTGTTGTACTGGAGCATATATCGAAGATAACATCAAATGCATATGTAGTCCTGACGGCATAACCTTGTGTATGCTCAAGCTTTGTATATCAGAGTTATTAAATCCATTGACACATTATAAATTGTTGATTAGAGAAAGGATATTTTCCTCGACTTTGGAGAGAGGCTGTAGTTATGCCCTTTACCTAAGATCCCTGCTCCAACTGAGCTTGCTGATTTGAGGCCTATTAGTTTACTATGCATTCCATCCAAACTGTTAGAAAAATTGTTAATGTACAGCTAAATCAGTATTCAATAGATCAAAACATTCTCCCTAAGCACCAGTCGGGTTTTAGGGGAGGACATAATACAACCACTGCTCTTTTAAATCTTAATGATGAAGTTTATACGGTCGCTAGATAAGAGGCTTGTCACTCGACTTATGTGCTGGATTTTTCAAAAGCCTTTGACACCATTGACCATTCACTTATGTGCGCAAAACTGTAATCGTATCATTACCATACAGCGTTGAACTTATTTTGCAATTACTTAAGTCTTCGTAAGCAAAGCGTTATTCTACATAACAAAAGATCTGAGATAACAACAATAACATCAGGAGTTCCTCAAGGATTTAGGAGCGTTCTTATTTATTATATACACAGATGATATCTTGAAAATCCCTACAGTACTCACACATTCAATCTTATGCTGATGACACGCAGCTTCTGTTTCATTTTAAACCATCTCTTGTGGAACAGGCAAATGATTCAATCAACACTGACTTACGAACAGTATCTGACAATTGTAAAGAACACAATTTGAAACTAAATCCTGATAAAACGAAACTTGTGCTTTTCTGTTCTGATCACAAGCGAGAAAACTTGAGCAGTGGTCTGACCCTCTTCTTGAATGAACAACAACTTTATTTTTCAACTACCTGTAAGATACTTGGTTTGATCATAGATGACAAGTTACGTTACCAACAATACATTAAAACAATATCTCAGAGGTGTTATTTGAAACTGCGAGTTCTGTATGCCAATAAGTACATTATTAACTTCAAGACGAGGAAAAAGCTAGCTGAAAGTTTAGTGCTATAAATTATTAGTTATGGTTTGATAGTTTTTTATCCATGCCTGGACTATTCGACTCAAATGTGCCTGCAGAGTATTGCAGAATAACTGTTGCCGTTTTGTCTGTAACTTACGTAAATTTGACCACATATCTAATAGTTTCAGGCTTTTACAATGGCTGAATATCAATTCTCTGTTTTTACCTAACAACATTGAATCGTGTATTATATTCTAAGAATCCTGTATATTTAGTAGAAAAGCTGGTCCCTAGGGCAAGTAGGTATCCATAATGTCAATATAAGACATCAAACCATTTTACAATGCCTGTATGTAACATCACTCTTTTATAGATCTTTCACGTATAATGCAGTGTCTCTCTTCAACATCTATGGCAGGAATATTGATATTATATCAAAAAATACTAATAACATCCGTTTCAAACTGCATCTCAGACAGCATCTTCTAGGAATGAATAGGATCAATGAATAAATGCCCGGTGATCAATTACCATTATGTTCTTTTAGTTAGATTCATAGACATACAATCGTTTTCTGTATATGTAAAATACCATATTTGTATGTCAAATTAGCATTAAGCTTTAGTCTTTAGAAAGGTTGAGTGTAAGAATAGCTGTGCTAAACTCCCCCAATAAAGCCGTTTATTATTATTATTATTATTATTATTGAATGTCAAGCCTGGAAACCAATTCTAAAATTAAAGACATAAAAACAATATAAAAATGTACAAAGTAAACTTTCAAAAGAAATGACAAACAAATTTATCTGAACTGTAGATTGCACCAAAGATCGATATTATTTTCACTTTATCTTTAAATTCATTTACTGACACCTCTCAGATGCTTTGCGGCAGATAATAAATTGAATGTCCAGATTCTCCGATATCTACTAGCTGACATTAAGTACCATTAAGAAGTTTGTATCTATTTCATTTCATATTCGAAATTATCTCAAGTTGTCGGAAACACGACTGCTTTAGT